ACCCTGATTCTTAAACACTTCCAAAAGTTGCCTGTGCAAACACTTTTCTACCCATGTATAATACACATTTGAAACTGAAATCTTTGTGCAGAGTTTTAAGAGTCTTAAAAAAAAAAACCAAAAACAAAACCCCTCCTTGGCACAAGAGCTGAGGAATACTCAAGCTTCTTTTAAATCATCAAACACAAGATGATGAAAAGTGGAGAAAGCACAGTTAAATGAAATGAAATGAAAAAAAAAAAAAAAAAAAAGCCTAGACCCGCAGCTTTTATTAGCCATCGTTACAGTCTCTCATCCACAAACACTGCCCGGCTCCCTTCCCAGGGCGCTTTACTGGAGGCAAGTGCAAAACACTGTGGTGCTTTCTATTCAAAGAAACAGGAGATGTGGCCGTGGTGGTAACGGACAGCCCAGCTACCCACCAGTTTTATAGCAGGATCCGCAGTGAGCTTGATACAGATAGAGGATAGATGACGGTAAAGGGGGAAAAGAGTTTAAAATTATCAAGTTTCCTCTTGAAATGTCTTTTCCCAAGGCACTGTGAAGAAGACTGCTGCTAGCAATTTTCTAGGACTAAACACACTGATGGGAATATAAATATTTCAAACACAAGCCCTGTTATATTCTTACAGCTAGTTTCATCACTTAGGTCTCTTCTCAGCTTAAATGATGCTCCTTGAATCTGTCTGGTCCTTGGAGGGGCAATCCATTTTTGTTTTCTGTAATATTGACAATCACCTTCTTTAATGCAGCTATAACATCAAAGCTCTGTTAGGTTACTTAACCCTTCATCCTTAAACTAAAAGTTCTCATTATCATCTCATGTGAATCCAATGTGCAGGTTTTGCTTGCTTATTTAAGAATAAAACTAAACAAACGTAAAGGGTTGAAAAGCAAAAACTCTGCTTTTTTTTCCTTCAAGAGGAAACTATGCAAGAATACATAAAAGGCAAAGTTGGCTACTTGAAATCCAAGAATGGTTTTAATGTGTTGGCCGAGAAAAATAAACTGTAAAGTTCTGTGAGGTCTTCTAAAAATTTACAAGAAAAACTGATGGGCAGTTCTAATCAGATTTGGATGTTATCTTCCCCCCCTTTTTAAAAATGACAACAGATACAGTCCCACAAAATACAAGAGAAACTGGTTTTTTTTTTTTTTTATCTTGACTGCCAGAGACGCTCCTTTGCAATGCCTTCCGGTAACCGAATGTTTGGGCACAGCACACAGCTGGCCTTCATTTCTTCAGGGGCTGGTAAACAGAGGCATTGGGGTCAAGTCCAGAGGGGCTGGTCTCCACAAATTTGGAAGAGTAGTGGGGGGAAACAGGGCTCAGGGGGCTGGTGGCGGCACTGTATGTTATGCTGGGCATGACGGCCATGACTTCGGCTATCTTCTGTTTTAGGTCCTTGATTTCCTGATCTTTCTGAAGGATTTGTCCTGTAAGATCAAAGACCCACCATTAGTGAAAAGGGAGGCCTCACCCAACACAATGCCCCCAGGGGCCAACCCCTGAGTAGTTTCGGCTCAGTGTGAACAGCTCCAGGTTCAGTGATTTATAGGGGCAGGCAAACTCGTCCTATAATGGGACACACAGTACATATTTTAGGTGTCATGGGCCATATATAGTGTAATATCTTTGTCATCTTTTCTTCCCAGCCATGGAAAAATGTAAAAACCATTCTTCATGGGCACGCAGTACAGGCACAGGTGGCAAGCCAGATTTGGCCCATGGGTCACAGTTTACTGATTCTTGGCTTAAAGCTAAGAAGGGATTCTGTTCATATAAGTGTGATTGATGTAAAGAAGTCCGTTTCCAGGAACCATGTTTTGAACATGGCAGTTACCTATGACAGCGTAAGAGGGCCAGTAATTGTGAACTCTGGCTCCGCCTCTTGAGCTGGAATTTTTTTGAGAGGATAGACTATCTCCGAGTGTCAGACCAAGGAATACAGAATAACCAAGGCCTCAGACTCAGTCACAGTGATACGCTTCTGCCACCAGCCTCTCTGACAGGAAACAGAGGAAGCTCTGTGGCTGCTGCACTGGGGGAGCACTGGTGGGACCCGCATTGCTTGCCCTTGCCTTAGCAACATCAGCCCATTTAGCCTTCCAGCACACTTGCCCTCACTATGCTTCAGTTTCTTGATCCAGTCAGCTCCTGCCTACCTCAGGCCACTTCCTGTGCTGTGTGTCTCCTGCTTTCTTTGCGAAGCTAGCTAACACTTGAGGATTCTGTTTCTACTTCCTCAGCAAAACTGTCCCTGAGCCTCCTGTCTAAATTAGCTTCCTACAACTCCTAGATTCTTTTTTTTTTTTTTTTTTGAGATGGAGTTTTGCTTTTGTTGCCCAGGCTAAAGTGCAGTGGCGAGATCTCGGCTCACTGCAACCTCTGCCTCCCGGGTTCAAGC